AGCCTAAGCAAGAGGCCCCAGGCACTCCCTGCAGCCCAAGACCTGCAAAGCTGCACCCTCTTTTTCGGTCAAGGCCTCCGATGTTATAGGGACAGCTGCTGCAATTACGGCTGGAGACTGTGCAGTATGTCATCACCACTCCCAAGTGCCTACAGGCTGATGGCAACACAGTCCACGGTCCTCCCTGCACCGCTATGCCTGTTCAGTGTTCTGGGAGATATGCACTTGGTTAGACTGTTACATAGGCCTGTCCTAAGCAACGGTTAAAGAGCAGTTCCCTAACCGGGGATCAACTGGAACAAAAGCTCTAAGTGATCAAGTCCATGAGACAAGAGCTCAGAGCTCCTTGCTAGAAGTCAAGGCCTCCTGTAGCTATTCTCTCCTGGCAGCAGCAAGCACTCCAGCTCCTCAAAGTGTTCCCAGAAGTCTGCTGAAATTCCCAAATGTTCCCAGAGGATTTAGAGCAGGAACTGCTGCACCAGCTGTTGCTTCTGCTGGCCATGCTCTGAACCCACTGAAAGAACCCAAGCAGCCTTTCAATTAAGTGTATTCCCATACACTCACCAGCACTCAGTCATTACCTCTGAGGTAGTTTACGTAGCCAACCTTATGATAAAGGAAATTAAGTGAAGCTGGCAAAGCTACAACCGTGTTAACACTTTCAGTATTTGGTCAATTTGCCTGTAAACCATTTGCACTTTTCATTAAGTTAACTGACGTTGCCAGGCATTCTTGAATGCACATTTGAAGAAACTGCATACCACCAAATGTGATTAAAAAGCTAGAAAAAAAATCCAGAGGTAATGATGCATTCCGATTTCACAGTTAACAGCAAAACTACATAAGCAATTTCACGGTTATTTTCCATGCAAAAGGAAACCATTTCAGCCAAAGAGAATACTGAAATATTTTCCACAAGACAAGAACACTTAAGAGTTCTGTTTCCAGACTGGAGTTCACTGCAGTAGTGAAATGAATAGGAAGTTGCAATGCCACATGAGCTGGAGAGCTACTTATCACCTTTCAGCACCTGGAAGTGGTGCAATAAAAACTTCTTTCCTTTTTTGCTTTAAAAGCTCACAAGGACACAGCCATTCACTTCTTTTTCAGCTGCATTATTTCGATGAAAGTCTTCCCAAGAAGACATCACAAAAAGGAAAAGACAGGGAAAAGGCGAAGATGCAGATCATTTCCTGAAGAAATCCAACTACCTAGCAGCTATTTGTTTCTGGTCTTGTAAGCAACATTTGCGGTGCAAGTCATCCACAACGACAGTACTTTTTGAGATGGATCCCAGATTTCTGCATATAATAAAATCACCCCAAAATGTCCACCCTGCTCCACATTTTTCAGCAACAGCAGAGGAACACTTGTGTCCCTGATAGCTTAAGGAGTTCAACCTTAGCGAGCTCCAGAGCTCAAACTTACATAAGTAAATGCAGACAGCGGAGGTGAAGTCCACTGTCTCCTTTCAGTGTCTGCACAGAGATGGCCATATTTTGGTAGCTGACAGGTACAGAGCCTTTTGCACAGTCTGAAGGATCACATCCTAGATTTCCTAGAGTAGAAAGTCATGAGTATTTTGTCATGAGTATCACAGATACCTTATTCCCTGCTCAAGCAGTACAGAAGGTGTGAGGGAGGGAACAAGAACCCTCAGGCAGTTGGATGCCTCCCTAAGCAAATCAACTGCCATCAGACAGAACACTTCTACACAGCAAACTCATCACCACGTACTCAGATCAGGACTACAGGTGCCACGAGCAATAAACAGATCTCAGGTCTAAGACCCTAAACACATGAGAAGAGGTTAACCCATCCTCTTTAGGGCAGTCAGGTTTGAAAGTACCAATGTTTCAACAGGGTAAGGGGAAGACAGACACAAAATACAACTTACACTCACAGCAGACTAACTTTCAGCTTTAGCATTCAGTCCAGATGGACTAAAAGTCTGTGCACACCTGCATGAACTACAAACTAAAGACAACCAGATTCTCTCAAAAAATTTACAGCTATTGATTAGAAGTGTCCACACTGTGCACAGACATCCTGACAACAATAATCCACCCTCATCTGTGCGACAAGGAATTCAGCAAGAAATCAGGATTTCTGCATTAAGAGATACTGAAGGAGGGGAATGCTTTAAAAATGTTCACCTGTAAGAGGAGTCAGGCACAGCAGATTGGCTGGAAACCCAGACCCCAGGATCTGGATGTCCCAGCTAAGTCAAGCACCTCCAACACAAAATATGGTACAGGGTTTATTTCTTCTGTTGAGCCACCTGTGGTAGGAGGCAGTGGCTCCAAAGCAGAAAATTCATAGTAAAGGATGTAAATCGACACCAGGGTTTGCTGCTACTTTCAACTTCCTACAGCATTCATCAGTAACAAAATAAAGGGTAAGTAGTCTAGTGATTTCAAAGCCTCTCTCTAAATTTTATAAACACAATCTAATACATGGAACATAAGATTATTCAGTTTTATGCTGCATTTCAAACAAAACCCAGCAACACACATAATTTGATCAAACATAACTTTGGCTTTCAAATCCATTCTTGAATCAAAGTCATTAGTCTCCAGAAAGCTCAATAGTTCAATAAGTCATTAAAAACTGCATTCCAGGCAGAAGACATTGTCTGCCCTACATGTTTGTTTAATAGAGAATTAACTGAGAAAAATTATACATATCAGTCACTGTTTTATGAAAAATAAGCATTATCTAACACACCAATTTTAAGTCTGCACATACAGTCAATAAAGACAACTTCAAAGACAAAAATGCTTTGATGTAATAGAATGTCATGGAGGCACCAAAACTGTGATTTATTTCACTGTTAAGAACTAAACTGACCTAAAAAGTCTAAATCCAACAAATGGAGAAGTTACTCCTTCCTGTCCAGGCCACTCAACCCCACCACACCTTACATGCCAGTATTACGACTTCTCTGACCCCACAGAAACCAGGGATCTAAACACGTTTTTCTGCAGCTCTCGTTTCCTGCTGGTTTGCCACGGGGTCAGAAAAACACACAGTGGTGGCACAAAAAAACCAAAACTCTGTCAACAAGACTGCTCTTCCGAGGTGCAGCCAAACATCAGATCTGCTTGGAGTGGAGTTTTACAATACAGAAATCTTAATGCAAACGTATGGGCAGAAAGAAAAGCAAAAGAAAGAAAAAGTGGTACTTTTAGAAGGTTCCTGAAGAAGCCAATTCTTAGCTGCTGATATTCCAAAACTATCAGTGAGCATGGAAAAGACCAGGAGTTGCTCCTAACAGTGTTGCAAGAATTTAGGCAGCGACAAAATGAAAATGAAGCAGTCTGACCAACGTAGTGAGGCAGAATTAAACAGTCGCAATCACTTTAAAGAAAAGTAAGCACTTTGTCCACAGACACTGGAGGACTCCATGCAACACTAATGGGAATTTTACCTCTTGATTCTTCAGATGGTTGTTAGGAGAAACCTGAAGCACACAAGTTTATGTTTTGGATTTTAAGCTACCCAGCACTGTCAAGTTCTGTCAAAGTTAACCAGACTTTACCAGAGTATTCAACACTACAGGGAGCAACGTGAAGTAGACTCTTAAACTTCACATAATGATGTATCTTGCTTCCCATTCAACAATATCCTTATCTCCCATGTAGACGATTTTGTGCTTATTTGAAGCATTAAGGTGTGGATCAGCCGTGACATTTAATGAATGGCTTGCTATCATTAAGCAAGAGGTCTTATTTCCTTGCAAAAGTAGCCTCCAGAGCAAGCTTCTACTTCTAAGCATCTCAAACTGTACGGCAACACCTAGGCTGAATATTCAGCTACCAAAATATTCAAAAAAAATCAGTATTTTATGTAATTATTTCATTATGATTTTACACATGCATTCCGTAAGTACGGATTTAAATAGATGGCCATCATGTGAAACTTCATCTGAAAGAAACTAGGAAAACTAAAGACATGGAAATGAGAGAAGCCATTCTGAACGTAACTTCTGGAGTTTTTAATTATTTAGTTATCTTGTCTGTTCTCAAGCTTATAAAATAAAGCACTAGAGTCAGTTAAGATAACACACAGAGAATTCTCATGTGTTTCATCAGCTTTCATCCAGTTTTTACAGAGAGAGGAGCAGTTTCAGACCTGTTTCGTTATGGATTAGACAATGATCTAAGTCAGTATTGCTGGATTCTGCAATACAAACTGAGCATGTGCAACAGAAAATTCCACAAGGCAGTGTCTGCAGGCTGAGAACAAACAAGCACACACAGTTAAAAGCACAATTACTTTTATTTTCAGAAACCACTATGCTTTCCTACTAAACCCAGGATTCCATGAATTCTGAACAAGAATAACCAGAATTTGTAAAGAGTTAAGAGTTCAAGGATTAAAACATCTTCACAAAGCAGATAAAAACCTCCTGCAACTAAATAGATATGGCTTATGCAACCAGCTGCTCTACCAGTTTGTTTTCAAGGAATTATTAAGTTTCACAAATCTGAACAATTCATTCCTCTCATTTTTTTAAGCTACTACTAACAATCCTATTTAAAGAACGTACAAGTTAAATTCCTGAAGAGCGATAAGGCCTACAACCATTGCAGATGCATTCCACACTTTTATTTTACTGATCAAAACCAGATCAAAAGGTTTGCTTGCATACCTGGAGGTCTGGTAGAGTCAAAAATGCTCATAATGAAGGAAGAATAGATAAGCTGGGGACCAAATGCAAACTAGTTTTAGACATGTCTACTGATACTCAAATTTAGGAACCGTACTTCTTGGAGTTCTTAACCATATACAAAATAGTAAGTAATTTAGCCTTAAGTATTCTGTCTTCCTAATACTCATTACCTAGTCTTAGCATTACCACAGTTACATGCATACTTGTCAACAGCTTGATTACACATAGACAAATATTTAATATTTCTACATTAAATTGCATTCAATTAAGTATTTGCTTCAGCAGTTTACCACAAAGTAAAAATTTCTTATATACTAGATTATACCTGCAACTTTGTCCCGAATAAGTTTTGCAGATTCAACTTCACCAATACTGCTAAATAGACTCCGTAACTCATCTTGCGTCATGTTCTGAGGGAGGTAGTTCACAATTAAATTTGTTCTACCAATATCATCCCTGCAATCTTCAGCCATGTGATCTTCATAACCATTAGACATTTTATATTATATCTGCAAAGAGAAAAATCCCAAGTAAGTTCTAGAACTTTACATATTTTCCACTCACAAAACAAAATCCTATTTGTTAAAAAATTCAGAACAATTCAATCTTTCAAAGTAACAGGCATGGCATTTTACAAAACTCTGTACCGTTAAAGAGCTCTTAAGGTTTGGGGTTTTTTTACATTCATAAAAAGCATCAAGACAGATTTTGTACACATTCCTGTAAACACCAAAGTATTCACAACTGCCAAGTTAAAAATCAGGTTCCCCATGTCCAAGCACTTGCCAAGCCAGGTTCCAAACTGCCCCCTCAACCTTAATTCCAACCTTATGGCCAGAACTCTTCAAAGACAGAGAGGAGCACCAGCCAGATCTCCCAGACACAGTTCAGTATTTCAACTGGGGACTATTTATTTTCTAAATGTTTTCTCCTTTACACATTGCTTATCCTGCATCTAAGGCCCTGTTAGTGTTAGCAGTCTTTGTTTAAGTTCTTAATTGCATACATGAACCAAATGAATCTGTAGTACAACGCTAACTTCGGTGCACATCGAGTATTTGATAGAATCACTATTTTTGCACTTTTTTAACGAAAGCCTTGAAAAAACATCCAGAAATCCCAGCACATGAAGATACCCTCTGCCTTAGCCAGCTAGCAGCAGAGACTGAATCCTGATGTTTCAGATGCAGAGGACATCTGCAACTCAAACCCACAACACATCCAAGCTGCTCTTCCTTCATGGGCTGCCAGAATAGCAGATTTTAAAGTGCTTTTACAACTACTTTGACATTTTCAAATTCAGGATACCTAAACCATGTTCCTGCAACAGAAGAACAGTAAAGTCTAGCAGACTTAAGAGGCCTAGGCGAGTTCTTTCTGGAAAACACCACCACCAGGAAGCCAATTTCTTGTATGGTTCCAGGCTCCGGTTTTCAAGTCTGCTGCAGATTTGCTCATCTCCTTAGTCCAAGAGCTAAGCATCTCCAGCTCCAAAACAACAGTTTTGTTTAACAGCTCTTAGAAACAGCTGCGAAGCACACAGAATTAACAGAAAAGCTGCTAAAAACCTGAAGGGAATACACGGCCTCCTGATGCTCACTTTAGCGCTCCTCCTCATCACAACTCGTGCATTTTGTCACAGAATCTAAATAAACACTTCAGCCTATTAGCAGCATGCAGGCATGTCAATTTACACCACAAGGTTGCTATAATATTTGAATATGAATGTGTTCTCAATTCAGACTCCACCAGTAAGGGGTATAAGACTTTTTAGTTTTCAGAGACATTAAAGCTAATCTGAGAGGATGGAGTTTTTTTCTCTAATCCAGAGTTCTCACTACAGCAATACCATCAGAAGTTTGCATACAGCTAAATCAGCAGTATCTGCTTCGCTAAATAATCTGTTCTCAATATATGCAGTTTACCAACTCTATAAATGCAGATTCACACCACAGTATTTCCAGAATAAAGGTAAATGAATGCTTCACTCGGTGCAAGAGATCAGCCTAATGAAAAATTTAAGCACTAGAAACTTAGCAGGAAGCAGACTTGCAACTCTAACTCCCTCCTGAACATTCAGCATAAACCTTCCAAGTTCAACATGAAATCTCTTCTCACTGAATCTCTCAGAGCCACCACAGAATTCATTACCACAGACTCAAAGATGAACTTTGTGTTCACTTTAACATAACTTTTGGCCAATACACTCATTTGACCGAAAGAGCAACATAAGGTGCCGCACATAAGCAACTATTCAAATTCCTCCAGCTGCAGTTTGCTTGAGAGTCAAGCATGTTATCTGAAGCAGGTATCCCTGGCACAGTGCTAATCTTGCCTGAGGCGATAATCAACCTGAGCTGAATTAGAACAGTTTCAGATATTGCTTCTCAGCCAACAGTAAAACATCAGGCCAGGTGTTCAGAGGATTCAAGAATTCCAGCTCATCTCAGTGCAGAGCAAGCCAGCAAGCCTTACAGTACCGTGGAGTTAATGCTGGCTACATGTGCCAGTTTATTTTTGCATTAAGATGGGTCAGAAGCATTCACATGACCACATATGTTTCACAAGGCATATTTGGAGAAGTAAAAAATTGAGTTTGAGTTACAACCATTGCCACCACAAGACAACTATGTAGCATCAGCTTACAGATGTCCAGTGCTTTTGACAGAGCACTGAACAGGCTGCCCAGAGAGGTTGTGGAGTCTCCTCTGGAGACATTCAAAACCCGCCTGGACGCCTTTCTGTGTGACCTGGTCTGGTGATCGTGCTCTGGCAGGGGTCGACTAGGTGGTATTTCAAGGTCCCTTCCAACTCCTAGTATTCTGTGATTCTGTGAAACTACAGCCACCACTGCCCTCCATGCAGTCCCACCTTGTGCATCAGGACCAACCAAAGGATGAACCTTTCCAGAGACTGCACCGCTACTGACAACTAGAAGTTGAATGATGGAAAAAGTCAGGAACAGGAACTAGAAATCCTAAGTCTACAAAGGGAATGCTGCCTGCAGGAAGGGACTTTCAGTTCCTTTACCAGTGGCTACTGTTAAGTCATGTCTGGCATTTATTTCATACTTTCTTCTTGTGAAGGGCAGAATTTTTTAAGTGGCGGTAACAGAGCACACCATTTTAGAGTAAACCATTATTAGAATTAGGTTAACTTGAGAATTAACACAGTATAGATTTAAACTGAACTCTGTTTTTAATACGTGTTGAAGCCTTAGCAGCTGGCGGCTTATAGGAAGAGAGATCATCTTGTTCCCCCTCACTCACAGCTTAGCCTTCAACCTCCATTTGTGTTTCCAGTGTTAACACAAGCAAGCCCCAGCACCCTTCTGCCCACCAATTTGTACCATGAAAGCAATGGAAAACTGCACCAGGAGGAAAGCACTTCTTGCTGTGTCAGCAGTTTTAATCTGCCTTCCCTGCACCAGGGCCAATGCCAGAGGACAGGGGAGCAAGAGGAAAAACCGCAAAGCTAGAAGCAGGGGAAAAGGCTCCCCTCATCGGATGTTTTTAAGCTGCCAGGTTCTCCCAGTTGTACTGTGAAATTCTGTCATTAAACACACAGTCACAACTGTCTAAGCACAATCTCAGAAGTTTCCTGTTCTGCTGAATGACAGGCAGCTGAAACTTCTTTCTTCAACAAATACTGAGCTTTAAAAGCTGATGACTTAAGTTTTCAAAATCATTTGAACCAAAAGTGACTCTGCTTGCCTTTGTCCTGTATAAAATTCAAGCACTACAAGCACAACACTCTAATATGTTGATGAGTACGGAAGTTATACAGTACGACTAGAGCATTCAGTAAGCAAAGAAAGAAACATTGAGACTTTTCCAGCATTACAAGACAAATTCAAATTTCCTTCACTTTAACCAAATTTTCCCAAGATACGATGCAAATCCTTCCTGCTAAGATTGTCCTTCTGCCAAGTTTAAGAAGCTGCTATATAGTTTAACACTTTCCAAAACCAAAGCCTTAAAAAAAAAAAATCTCTGTTTTCCTTATCCCACAAGGTATATCTGCTGCCTAAAAAGGAGGCACCACAGCGAGATACCAAGCACAGAAAACTCCACAGCACACCATACTGGCAAGTTACCAGACCGATATCTGGCATTAAGCAAAGTTGACAGGAGTTTGGCAAGTGGCTATCAACTTTAAATCATTTTACCACTGCCTCTAATCTCACTGTCTGCAATACTTCCCATCTCTATCTCCCTGTGATAAACAAGGAGTGCCCAGGGCATTGGTGATTCAGAAGCAATTACAACTGGGAAGGAAGCTGCCATCTGCTTTTCTTCAGACATTGGGAAAAAAAAAATGAGAGGAAGCGCTTGCATAAAGGCCTGGCAAATATTTTCACGGGATACCTGGAAGAAAGCATGCCAAAGTGATAAAGGCAGAGAAAAGGAACAGAGTGCTGATGGATAAGATGATCCTTTCTTCCTAATCTTTCACCAAGCACTTACACAACCTACTGCGGGACCGACACTTTCTGGCCATCCTGGAAGTGAGTGGGAAACCACTTCCTCTGCTGCTGGTGAACAGTTCTCACAGCAGCAAGAATAAAAACCACCCCTGAAGAACTGTTAACCTTTGCACACTGAAAAGAATTCCAAAAAGAAAAGGCTGCATAAAATGGTCAGTGTGGATGAAACAACCCGGTGCAATGCTACAGGCTTGGAGAGGAGT